GTATATCGGAAGTTATTAACATTTTATAGTAATGATTGGAGGTGGACGGGGTATCGGTTATTGTACAAATGTCATTTTAAATGTAGCTACTTTTTCCGAAATCAGATTTTAAAACCATAATTTACATTATTTTCTATGGAATAGAACAATAAATTTCAATAGCTAACAATATATAATTTAATTTTTTGAATCACAAAGATTTAAATATTCAATGCGAACGTAAGCAATCACAATGACTCAGCTTTAATTTTTTTATTACAGCAGTTCATTGTATTGCTCAACGTATACCAAGAGTATTAACCATCTTCATTTATAAAATTAGTACTAATGGTAAAAATTATACATGAATTAAATTGTCAAAATAATTATTACTTCGAAATTTTTATTCATAATAAACTTAGTGTTTAGTTCGGAAAGAACGGTTTTTTTTACCTTCCGTAGGTAAGTCATAAATATAATCGACCTAATTCATGTAAATGTAATATCAATTTAAAAATCTCTGGATGAGAAATATAATAAAACCTCATTTATAAAAATTCTGTGATTCATCCAATTTTAATGAAATCCAACAGTTTTTCTAAAATTAAAACTATACTTATTTAATATTATTTTTTGGTACAGAACGTCTTAAGCAAAGATCCAGTAGACCAGTTGTTACAAACATCGTTGATTTTATTATATCGTGTGGCAGCTGATCTTCAGCGTCTTGCTTTACTCGTCTCCTTGTCCACCCAGCACGGCAAATCGATGGCCTCCATGTCGATTGTCATCCGTGTACAGTTCATCGTCGTAAGTCTTTTTTTTTATGTGTCATTGTCTTCTGTAGCAAGCGTCTTCGCTTGAATGGTAATATGTTCGACCATTTTACGCCGTTATTCTTTTATTGGTTTATTGCCACCTTATGCTCAAAGTTTTCGTGCCCTTGCAGGACCATCACTAAATATCTTCATTGCCGTAGTCGCTTTTTAGCCTTCTGTTCACATATGTCATTACGTGCCTGGATCTACACTCTGACCAGCATACTCAGATGTTCGACACTATTTCCACAAGATCTCATACGGTCAACTCATCACTATCAACAACATCATCTGTTTGGCTGAATTTTATATTATTTTTAATGTTATTAATTGTTTGTTTTAATTGAGATTAACTATTTTGTTTTGTGCCGCTTCGCCGGCCATTAGTATTTAACCCAACCACCCGTTACCCCTAAAATTTGAATTACTCTCTGAAGAATTTCTAATTGATGTGGTTGTTTGTTATTAAAATATTGTCTATTCTCGTTACTTATTGGATGTACCGTTAGTCGTCATCCCCTAGGTGACCCATTCCCGCTTCAATAATTAGCGATTTAAACAGGTTTAAGGTAAAACGGCATTCTAGTGCGGTGCACAACTAGCCGAACTACGGACTAGTTGCCTCGTACAAAACATTCCGAAAAAACTAACATTTATATAAATTTATTATCTTAAAAATTACCAAGACCGTATTTTATATTTTTATGTACGAACCACAAAATGTTATCTAGTAAACATTCATAAATTTTAAATTGAAGGAATTATTTTATACATAAAGTAGTTCTTTAAACGTAAGTATTAAGATATTATTTTCAAAAATATTTGTCGAGTTTCTCTCAATCACTTTTAATTATTGAATTTATATTTTATTAGAATAATATGTAAAATAAATTAAACATCAGAAAAATATAACAAATTATATAATGTTTATTTATTAACAAAAAATCATAGAAAATTAAGAATTTAGAACAAAAAAAAATGTTATTTCAGTAAAAACAATATTAACAATACGAATCAAAATGTATCACAGTAACAAAAAGAAAATATTACAATTCTATTAAATTAAATAATAATAAAATTACATATAAAATAAAAAAAATTGTGATAAAGGTTACAAACTATTCTATTTATATTTTTGTGAGGACGGTAACATTGGTAACTAACCGAACTACGGACTAGTTGCCTCGTACAAAACAATTATAAATATTTCCCCTATTCCAACGTTAAACAATGTTGTTTACAAAAACATTTACAGAATTAAGTTTTTTTTGAACTGCGATGAATATTTAGTTCATTGTATAAACTCAACACACTGGGATAACGGCTCACTGAGGATGTGTCATAGTTGGGACAAGTATCGATGGTATCTGACAGTGATTAAAATCAATATCATAAAAAACGCTTTGATCCGATTATGTAAATAATGTCTAAACTTTAGAAAAAACTGTTGGAATATTCCAAAAGCTACATCAAACAGGAAATTAAAACGTTATAATTATAACATTTATAACAAAAATATTTGTTAGTATATAATCAAAAACAATAAACCAAAATATGTGATATTAATATACGTAAAATATCGTTAAACATAGTATAAGTAATTATGTAAAACAAATTTTAATGAAACAAAAATAAATCATTTTCAATGTTATATTTAAAAAAATATAGAAGTAGTCATTTAGTCATATTAACACAATTAACGAACAAAATTGTAATCCGAACTCTAACATCAACTCCTCTTTCCTTTAATATATTTCATAAATAAATACTTATTATAATAATTATTAATTTAGTATTTAATTGATATTAATAGTATAATATTGTAATTTTTATGAAGAAGTTGTAGAAATTATAAAATAGTTGTATATTTCGTTGTATGGCAAATAAGTATCAAAATGACTTAATCAAAAAATATATATATAATATATATAAATAACGAATATTCTGACCCTCGTTAGTTATTTATAATATCAATTATGAATTTGTAATTAATCAAAAGCCATTAATAATTAGAACATTTTTTTTTGAAAAAGTAGCGTCCTTCCTTTTAATATACTTATTGGATTAACATTGAAAGTTACAAAAATCATCCCAGAAAATATTTATAATTTAAACTTAAATCTTATATAATATTTTTTATGAGTTGGTTTGAAAAATTGAAATAGTATATTTATACTACTTTTTATAAAAATATTTCAAGTTTTGGACTAGTATTTTAGCTGATATTTGCATTTTAATAACTAATCGATAGGAATAGTACGGTTTACTAATGCCTAGAGATAAAAATAAAAAATTTTCACGTGAAATATTTGTTTGTAACCCAATGAGTTTGTTAAATATAAAAAATATCTGTAAATACTTCTATTTTGAGAAATCGACAATATTTTGCGTATTCTGTAATTTTTCATATAAACTGATAGTAATTAAAAAAGTTGTAGATCCTTAATTCTTTAAAGAACATGTATATCTACAATTTATACTTTATGTTTTTTCTTCTACAAAAAGGAAAAGGAAACAAAGTTAAGTGTGAATAAACCCAAATAAATATTTGTGTGCGTTATTCCTTAAAACTTCAAGTTATAAACAAATATAGAGATAGGTGAGGTAGGGGTATTATTATTCAACTGTTAAATTTTTAATGGACAATACATCGTAACTTTTTTATGCCCTATGTTAATTCGCGGCACCATAATATTTTTATGCTGATCACCAAACTAAAAAGTTGTAACGGAATAGAATGCGACCGTCGCGTTCTCAGTTTGGTCGACACTGACAGAAGAAGAATACGAATATTAAAAAAAAAAAAAGAGTTTACAGTATCATAGTAAAACAAACGCGAATGAGCAAAAAATATCCATTCAATTTCTTAACATGTTTTTGTATATTCACAGAATAAACAGAAAACTTGAGCCACTATCCCGTTGCCATTATCTAGAAGTGTTGCCGATCGTAGCCCATTTCCGTCTGACATCACAGCCGGTCTGGGTTCACGTCCATCACTGCCGACGTCATCGTTGCCGCACTCAGCGCCATTATCACTGTTAACTCTCGTCTACATCACCGGGACATTAGTCTTCCTCTCTACACCCTCGTACCAATTATGCGAGTTATGGTCTTAACTCTCCCATGCGTGTATTTCAGGGTGTCCTTGGTGGGGGTCCTATAATAGAAAGTTCTAGTGTAATAAATATAAAACATAATAAAACTGAACATTAATGAAATAAATTCTAACGATTTAAAAATTCAGGACTCCAAACAAAATCAAACAACTTTATTATCCGTAATGACTCAAAAAACTCAAAATATTTGAATTTTTTAACGTGTATTATGAATCGCCGGAATGTATAAAAAATGTATATGTAAAATATTACTTAAAGTAGCGGATAATATGAAAAAAATATTTTTTTATACTAATATATTCACGTTATAATACATGCGCGTTTTAATGTAAATATTCATTTATGTATAAATACTACTTTTCTGTATATTTTTTATTATAATATTTAATGTAAATTGATGATCATGTATTTTAATGTTCAATATAAATAGGGTTAACTTCATCAAATTATGTTATCAATAGCCCAATAAATTGTATGTTAAATATACGTAATAGATTAATTGATTTTATTATTATTATCTTTGATAATTGTCTCAAATTACAATTTTTTGTCCAAAATGTATAGTATTTAATAAAATTCATGATTTTTTTTTTCATTATTTGTGTTACTAAAACTTTTTTTTTAGACGTGTTATATTGTTCTCTTTTTTCCTATGCATTAGTTTGAAATAAAAATAAATAACAAATTTTGAACTAGTATTTCGGATGTTGTTAATATTTAATAGTGACGATTGAAGGTGAGACGCGGGTATTGTAATTTTTATCATAATTCGCTTCCCGACTGTATTCATCTCTCATCTATGCAAAAAAATGAGAAAAACTTCCAAAAGTTGTTATCGGTTATTGTACAAATGTCATTTTAAATAGGGATACTTTTTCCGAAATCAGATTTTAAATCCATATTTTACATTATTTCCTACGGATATGTGTAATATAACAATAAAATTCAATATCTAACATATATAATTTAACTTTTTGAGTGTGAAAATTTTAAATATTCAATACAAAGGGAAGCAATCACAATGAATCTGCTATAATATTTTTAGTAATAACAGTTCAGTGCATTTCCCAACGTGTACCAAGTTTAGTAATAATCTTTACAAATTAAACATGAATTGTATTGTCAAAATAATAATTACTTCAAACTTCTTATTTATAATAAACGAGGTGTATAGCTTAGAAAGTACGGTCCTCATGCCAAATTTGCCTGTCGTAAGTGAGAACTTACAAATTATCAGTAAACTAGTGTTTATTTGTTAGTTCATTTTCAATCCATTGTACTGAAAAAATATTAAATTTATTATTATATTATGTCAATTTTAAGCATAGAAGATTTTCTTTTATTACTTATACGTACTATAATAAAGAACANGTTAGTTCATTTTCAATCCATTGTACTGAAAAAATATTAAATTTATTATTATATTATGTCAATTTTAAGCATAGAAGATTTTTTTTTATTACTTATACGTACTATAATAAAGAACAAAAAAAATAAGTATATTTTATAGGGTGGCACAACTGTAATAAAATTATTTCATTTGCACACTAATTTATATGCAATATAAAAATCTCTATGTTTATAAATATCTGTATAAAACGTTGAGGCGTTTGCAATTTATCTTATTCAAATAACTATATATTACAGTAGTCATTTTTTAGGGAAAATATAAATTAAAATTCAAAGCTGTTTCCATTTGTAATGAATCCGTCGATTATCCTATGAAATTTAAATACTATTTGTCTAAAGTTTCTACAACTAAAGCACTTTTGATGGGAAATGTCACATTAAATATACCGTTTGATGATAATTTGAAAGTAAGTATGAATGTTTGAACAACTACATATTAATTATATTGCATTAATAAATAACTCTATTTAATCAAGCTACACTTGAATTTGGCTGTATGGTCGAAAATTGGAGGCTGGAAAGATAATGCCAATGTATATCAAAATAAAAGAGCATGTTCACATCAAAAATTTCTCTTAGGAAATGTGTGGAGTGAATATATCGAAAAGCATAATTTTACAGATTGTCCAATTCAACCGGTTTGTTCAATGTTATAGAATTTTTTGATGATAAAATGAAATTTGATTTGACATCAATTAATTTCAATATTTTTATAGGGTTTTTATAAAATTAATGGATTTGATATATCACATATAAGTAATGCCAATCTTCCGAAGGAGTACTTTTATGGCACTTACAAGCAAAAAATATTTTATAATAATGAAAAGGATATTCAAGTTGGTTGTTATTTCTTGGTATATGATTTGATAAGACCATGGGAGTAATGTTGTTAAGTCATATATTTGAAAAATTCATTTTCATGTATTAATAATATAATATATTTGTTTACCTTTCAAAACTCGAGTAATTTCTTTTTGAAAATATCACAAGTTTAAAAGTTATGGAAGTTTTTTTGCCAAAATAATATTATTTAGAAATAGTATATAACTTTGTATGGTCGCGATTTCATATAAAACGACCAACTTTGAATGCGTATTGTCAATGACTGTTTTGAGATAATCATTATTATTGTATACTAAAATAATGGTCATTATCTCTAGTTTATTTTGGTATAATGACATTACCGATATTATCAAACGTTTTTCTGTAATAATTTTAGTCTGGGTATATATTGAACACACCTCATATACTAGAGCACCGTATGGTCCGAATTTTCTAGAACCAAACCGAATCGTTCTGAAAAATTAAAAAAATCCAGACTGCATAGGACCAAATAAAAAATTTTGATAAAAACAAACAAAGCCGGACTTTTAAATAAAAAATTGTCCAGATTAAACTTGATAAGACCAAATAAAAAAATTAAGTTAGAGGTAAAATGTTAATTTTAATCATTAATGAGTCGAAAAAATTGTTTATAATGTCAACAATTACGTTAAATAATGAATATTATTTTCAACTATAACCTAAATTAAAAAAACCCACAGGGGGGTCGCGGCACAGTGGTGACGTGGCATAGTTGGATCAAGTATAATGATATCTGACAGTGATTAAAATCACTATCAAAAAAGAACGCTTAGATGCTAATCTTTAGATAGTGTTTAATTTTAAAAAATTGGCGGATTATTCCAAAAGCTTCATAAACTGCTAGTTCCTTATTAATATCCTGATTAAGATAAAGTATGTCGAATGAAAAACGGATTATTAAAAAATAGTATTTCCCATAAAAAAATTATATTGATCAATACACTTTTCAATAAGTTATAGCATTATAATGTTAAAAATGTAAAAAATAAAATCGATAATTTTCACACAATAATAGCATTTGGTAGCCATTTTCACCTTGAAGATAAAATAAAGTCCGAAATTTTTTTTTTACATAATAAAGTAGATTACATTAGCTTTAATTTAATATATATAGAAAAGTGTCAGACTTTCCGGAACACTTTCAAAATTTAAGTTGAAAAAGTCAATTTTTTGTGAAAAAGTTGTCATTTTGAATCCCCCCCTGTGGGCAGGTAAAAAGTCAGATTTATAAAAAAAATATACCAAATGATAGGTAATGACATCATGCATCTATAAAAAAAAGAATTATATTGATATGTTTATTTTTAAAAAAGTTACGGCAGTTTTTAGTAAAAAAAATTGAAAAAATTTCGAAAATTAGCCATTTTTAAATTTGTAATTTTTTCGGAGGTTTCCCCCATTTACGGGGAACGAGGGAATTTTTTTCAATTTTTGAGGGTAATGTCTTCGACTAGATACGATTTGTGATCTTTTGACGTATCATTGAAAGAAATCGGTTCGGTGAGAGCTGAGAAAAAGTGGTAACAGACACAAAAAAAAACACATCTTAGTAAAACCAATACCTTCTCAGCTTCGCATCGAAGCTAATATAGATTGTCTTGAACCAAAAGTATTATTAATTAAAATAAACTATACAATTAGGCCGGACCGTTACATAAAAACGTTATCCAACATCACCTTTAATAATCTAATATTTCCATAAGAATATAAGTTGACAAGTGATGGAAAATAGTTTTTAATTTTTGATAATTTTTATGCAGTGCCGACATTAGATATAGCAAGTCCAATTTTAAAGTTATCCCCTCCGAAATTTCAAAAACAAAATATGTATTATCATACAAAAATAATTTTAGGAAGGGCGAAATCAGATATAATGAGCCAACAAAAATGTTGTTGATATTATGCCCGTGATAACTAATTATTTGTTTTTAACATTTAAACGCGTTTCATTATTCATTACCAAGTCAGCCTTAAAGGTTTTATTGGTTTCCAAACAGTTATACGGTATTTATCAACACATTATTGACGTGTTTCAATGTGTTTACTGTTATTTTGTTTCTAGATTACTGTGTTGCAATTTCTTTTTCCAATACAAAATCGTGTTCCATAGGTACTTGTAGTTTTGAAATGGATTTTTGATTTTATATTCGTCAATCAAATCCTAGTACCGCAAATCAATGGGATTAAACGGTAGCTGTTGATCGATAGGGGTGACTTAGCAACTGAACAATGAGTTGTATGCCAATAAAAAACAATGTCAACCGCTTGAATTAAAGTCACCGTCAAAGTCATCCATCACGTTGCAGTGCGGGAAGGTGCTCGACATATGAAGTGGTCCACTCATTGAAGACCAATTTAAAGCAGCCGTCCTGCGGCGAATAACGGGCACAAATGTCTTCGTCAACATCGTCTCGCTTTTGGCTCGTAGTAGGCAATTGGGGCACGCGTCTTTACCGTCAGATTTCTAAAGAGAAAAAGATGTTGAAAAAAAAAAAAACTCCGGGATTCCTCCCAATCTTTTGTTGTGTTCATTTTTTTCGATACAACAAGACGGCGTTGCCCCTAAGCCAATCTTAACATCTGCCTCAACGGCACACCACCTGCGACACGACCTCCGCCGCCGCCGCTATGCCACTCCTCCGTTGTCGTTGTCCCCGCGTCGCGCGGCAATAAACAACACTGCCATAAGAGGTGTATGAGCATAAGATTTGCAAAATGGCCAGGAAAGTTTTCTAAAAACACTTTTTCGGTCCGTCTTCATTTGCTCACTTCAGGCGAACGGAATATAATTTTACGGAAGACCAAAACGTTTTTGATTGTTTCATCACAAGTGACGTGCGTATTACATGTTATTATTATGTACCTACACAGGTATAGCCAGCGGAGAAAAATATGTCCGTTTTTACGATTGTCGTTCCCTCGTTGTTATTTAACCGTATTGTTGTGGTTTCTTCATGCCGTCGCACGTAACAGCGTCTACAGCGTTTCAATGCTTCCAGGACAATCGTCACTAATCCTTGTGTTACAGTTTGTGTTCAACCGAGACTTGCTAGTTTGTGTACATTGTGTGTCCGGCCAATCTCGCCACGTATAAGCCTACCGACGTCCCGTACACACGGGGACGCCTTAGGGGGGACCGTTTTTCATCTGTATTGGATTTACAGCTCAAAAATACTCTATAGTTTTTAAAATTATGGCACATTTCAACAGCTAACAGGCAACCAGATGTCACATCAATTCCTTTACAATCCCTCGGACCCCCAATTTATATTTTACACAAAAACAGACTTTATTGCAAAATATAATACACCAAAAGATAGTATTAATTTATATTTCTATAGATGTGCGTTTCTTCTATTCACTATTGAAATAATCAAGGAAATTACAAAAATCCTATCTTAAATTGTCAGGACATAGGTAAGTACTTATCAATAGACTAGTTAGAAAAAAAAAATATCATTAAAGTTTATTGTAAATTTTTTGTGAAATCAAAGAGTACGCATTTTTATATTCTCATCAATATAACTGATTTTTTTGTCAGGAAATTCGACAAAAAGGTACGTGTAAAAAAAAATGTAAAGAATAAAGGAAAAATGAGTACGTTTAAACATAAACCTATCACAAAACATTTTCGTTTATAATACGTTTTAAAACTCTAACAGGGGTAATATGATATAAATTTTGGACTATTTTTGTGACATGAATACGAAGTCTGGGATTCACCTCGAAATTGATCGATGAGTAACGGCGAATTTGATGTTGATGAGAAATTCTAAAAGCAACAAGTATCAAATTATAAAGTAAACACAAAACCACTAAAAGAACATCATCCAAAAAAATTAGTAAAAGTAGAAAAAAAAATCACGAAACGTATTTCAGTAATGAAATAACGTTAACGAAAGATGTAACTTACTCGTTAGAGAACTAGGAAAATATTTTGACAGGTTTCTTAGCTCATATAAACATATTTTATCAGACAAGGTGATTTTTTTAAATTAAACACAATTGAGTGATATTATGTTAAAGTTATTTATTATTATTGGTAGTTTGTTATTTGTTATTATGTTGCTAAGTATCTAAATTACAGCAATGAAAAGAAATTGACGTCGGGTGAAATCATAAATAGTCATACCAACATGAAGCAGACTCTTTTTATTAAAATCAATGCACTGAAAACTTACAACGGCTTTGAATATGAGATTTTATTATTGATATAAAATTAATCGAGTGAACTATAACTGTACGACGTGGTGTTTGTCTAGTCAAGCAATCAAATAATTTTATTATATTTAATCAATAAATAAAAATACCTTACGCATATTCACAGCAATTAAAAATAAAACACTTTTCAAAAATGTTTTGAATATTTTCTATTTTTTAATAAATCAAAAACGATAAACTGCGATAATAGATACATTAATTTTATTTATTAAGATGTAAAACGTAATAAGACAGGGTCTCCGTCACTCAATAAATGTCAGAAGTGATTTAAAATATATGTAAGTATATATATTTTTTTAGTATTTTTAGAAAATAAACAGCATTTCATAAACACATAAATAAATGTCAACATTTCTATTGATAATAACGACGTGTTGTCATTTTACAAACGTTTACTTTTTTGACAGTGAATTGATAAAATTTTGCGCTGTCATTGTCAATCGTTGCCTAAAGAGGGTTGGGTTTTTTATTGCACAGCATTCCGTTGTACTTTTCGCGTGTAAACATTTTTTTTCTGCAATCGACATGAAATTGTCTCGATTATTTAAGATCCAGGAACCCTTACTGTCACAGTTTAATTTGAAACGCAACAGTTGTACATTTATGAAAATGAAACCGTAACAACAGTTTGATTTATATAAATGTCGGCAAGTATCAATTTCATCAGAGGTTACCCTTTGGGTTGACAAATTTACCCTGAAATAAAATGTACACGACGCTATGTGTAAAGGTTATTTTTTTTGAACGAGTTAAACCGCGACCTGACCCTAAGGGGTGTAAGTTTTTTATCGCAAATTACGAATGAGGCCATGAGAAACGATGGCGTATGGATAACTGTGTGAGAAAAAAATTAGATCGGCTGAGCTGAGGGGAGAAATA